CCGGCGGGTACCGTGCCCTCCCTTGGCATCGCTGGAGACACGGAATGGGGTGCTGGGTCTCTCTCTCGGTGCAGAGGCCATGAAGATTAACCAGGACACTGTGCTGCAAGGACAGAGGGTGACCCTGGTGCCATACACTTCTGCACACGTGCCCCGGTACGTGGCTGGTGTTCTCCTCCGATACTCTATGCTGATTCACTTCTCTTTTTAAAGGGAGCGGTGTTCAGAAAGGGTGCTGGCTTGGCAGCTGCAGGGCCTTCCCCCTGGGAACCGCACAGCGGAAAGAGCACTCGTAGAAAGGCAATCGGTTTTGCCCTCCGTGCCCAGCAGCAGTCATCCCTGGCAGGTCTCTGCTCTTTGCCAGGCCTGCTGACAAAGAGAACTCCATCTGCACCACTGTTCACCCATGGAAAGGGAAATACCTGGGTGTGAGTGAGCTGCCAGCAGTTCTCCTCTTAATTGTTGTCTTTGCCTAATGACAGTGGAAGAGCAAAACTTCAATGTGTAAAGCCAGGTGGATGTTTGGTAAATTAGAAGGCGGCATGCTGGCAGTTTGTAAAGTGCTGGCCTGGACAGCTGCAGCCTCAGCGCAAAGCTGCCAGTATTAGTCATTTTGTCAGTGTCTGGGAGATGCTGTATCAATCTCAGTGGGGATGAAATGCACCAGAATGCAATGCTCAGTACTTTTAAAAACATCAAGTTTGCATCGGGCACTCTTCAGACAAAGCTACAGGATGGACAAACTTGCTCAATTTCCATGGAGAACACCAATTCCTATGTTAGATAAGCAAAAGAGCTTGTGGATACTTTTAAGTTGCCGTGAATGCCAGGCTAGTGTTTCCAGAACCAGTTTATGACAGCCTGATCCTTAGAGCGCTTGTGGAAATCAGACTGCGATGCTGTGATCAGGCAGTGATCTGGTTCTGGGTCCCATTGTCAGGTACCATGAGTGGATGCAGTCAGAGGAGCTGCAGCGCCTGACCGCCTCTGAACCACTCAGCCTGGAGCAGGAGTATGAGATGCAGCGCAGCTGGCGGGACGACGCAGACAGTGAGGATCTTAAACATTTTCTAAGGGTGGGTGGGAATGGTGAGCAGGTCCTTTCTGTCCTGTAAAGGACTCACAGTGGGCTGAGACTGCCTGGTGAGTGGGCTCTAGTTGCTGAAGCAGAGGGAATGGGAGACCTTCTGCAACAGCAGGTACGAACTAGCTTTCTGTTTGTAGCTGGTATATGCTTAGGGAAGTACAGCATGTCCTTTTTATGCAGTTTTTCAAAGATTACAGTGATTTACTTCCCACAGCATTATCTGCTGAGCTGCTCCTGCACAGTCAACACTCCCCAGGTCTGGTCATTGTAAAAAGGTGGAAGGGGGTTGTATTTTTCCTTGAGAAATCGAATTACTTTACCTGGTTGAGGTGTGCTGACTGAATTGGTTCCCTGGCTTTCGTACAGGTAATGAATCACTGCCCATAAAAGCCTGGTAGAAGTACAGTGAGCTGCAAAATAGTGAGGCTGGCAAAGACCTCGGTCTGGAACATTTGTCTCAGCTGGCATTAAAAGCCTTACTCAAAGCAGCAATAATATGGACTAGGTGAATCACTAGGTCTCGGTCTCTTGTGCACCAAACAATTCTTTGCCCAAACTTGCTGCTGAGCGAGACAAGGCAGGGAGACCTGAGACATGGGATGGAAGCTTTCATGCTCCTTAAATAGACTATTTCTAGTCTTGGTGTCTGCGTCATCCTCACAACAGGTTTTTCAAAATATGTCTCATTTCTATGGATGAGAGCAGGCACACTTGGCGTGGGAAGCCCAATTATTAGCTCTTCCTCACTATTAACATGTGGAAACTGTTGTTCCTCTGTCCATTGCATGCCTTTCATTTCATCCTTCAGTAATTTGTGAATAACTCTCAGCATGCCCTGAAAATGCTGCTGTTTTTGTTTTCCCCAGAGTGCACCTTCATTGTGCTGGACACGGAGCGGTGGTTCGGGCAGGCGGGTGCAGAAGAGGACTGCATGGTGGGGGATGTGAATATCTTCCTCACCGACACTGAGGATCCGACTTTGGGCGAGATTGAAATTATGATTGCAGGTCAAGTTGTTCTTCATAGCTTGGACCTTTGTCACCATGGCTAAAGCCAGATGCAGACAGATGTTCTGTACAGCAGCTTTTTATTCTCATTGCTTTACCATGGCTGTTCGTCCCGCTTGGCACCCTTTGCTGGCCCAGGTCACAGTCTCTTCTGAGAAGTGTCCAGCATGGCTGATTTGTCTCATGTAACTGGATACTGACTTCTGTGGCTCTCTCTTTCAGAGCCCAGCTACCGAGGCAGGGGTTTTGGCAAGGAGGCAACTCTAACGATGCTGTCCTATGGTAAGAGTGGCTCAATGCATAGGAATGGGAGTACAGTTGAGATGTGATCTAGAAGCACATGCTTCGAGTGATACAGACAGGGTAGTAAGGGATGCGTCTGCCCCAGAAATTGGGAGTCCTGTGCTTTCATAGATGGGGCAGCCGAGCAGGTAATACAAATCCTTCTCTTTCTGATGTCTTTTGCAGGAGTGAGAAACCTGGGGATCACCAAATTTGAGGCTAAGATTGGTCAGGAAAACGAAGCCAGTATCTGCATGTTCAAAAAGCTTCATTTTAAAGAGGTGCGGTAAAAGCCTGTCTTCTACCTGAGAACGTGAGCAGCGTTTGCCCTGTGACCGGGATTGAGCTGCTTTTCCTCTGTATGGTACAGGTTGCTGTGAACAGCGTTTTCCAAGAGGTGACGCTGAGGCTGGATGTCAGCGACCAGGAGAGACGATGGCTCCTGGAACAGACCAGCCATGTGGAAGAGAAGAGCTACATTGAACTGAAGCTGCCAGCTGAGGTGCTGGAGACCTGACAGGCATATCCAGACACAGGCCTGGTTTCCAGGGAGGAGTTGGACTCTGTTGCGAGGTCTGGATGCAGAGGACACCAGTGAGCCAACAGTGCACTTGACTGTTTTGATCTGTCTCCTTCGGTTACTTTGTCATCTTGTCAGCTTTGCACCTTATTGCATCAGCCAGGATTACTGCCTGAAATTTGGACCTGGAGAACAGCCACTAATTCACAGGCTTGACTAGGAATGGCTGTAACTTTAACATGCTGTTCCAGCAGAGCCTAAAATCACCAGCAGTTAATTGATTCCTGTTGCGACCAGTTTCTGGACAAGCAGCACCCACTGTTCCTTCTTCCACTGCCCTTAGAGCAGGATTCATCAGTTCGATAGAGGCAGTCTCAGTGCATTGGTAGCTCAGTTTGTTTTGAATAAAAAAACCTGACCAAAATCTGTGGTTTCCCCAGAGCTATCTGGGAGCAGCAGGGCTTGGCTGCTCACTTTGGCTGCTGAAGGAGTGGTTAGAAGCTGTAAAGGACAGCAGAGGCTCCTTGAACCCTATTTTCTGGGGTGTGGTAGGTTGCAGGGGGAGCACTGCCAGGTGCTGGAAGCAAGAGGCCCAGGTATGGGTGAGCACAATCAAAGGGCAAGTGCTGTTAACATAACGAAAATTATTGCAATCAGCCAACCAAGACACAAGCAGACCCTCACCACGATCACTGCGTAACAGGGACTGGCAGCTGCAGGAGGCTGCTGAGACAAAACCCTGTGCTGAGTTTCAGGACCACGCTTTGGCATGCTGCTGCCTGTTAGAAGTGTGGACCTGGAACCTCAGGCCATCATTGAAGGGATATTGCACTTCATTTTACCAGGCTGCTTCTATGAAAGCAAGGAGGAGGAGAACACAGCTGAAAGGACACAGAATAGTGATCCCCTGCTTCAAGGAAGCTCAGGACTTGCTCTGCTGAGCCTGGAGGCTCCATTCATGCTCTCCAGTAAGATGAATGGGGGGAAAAATACCTCTTACTGGGGTAGATAGACATATTTAGGGCAGGAGTTAGCCAGCCAGCCTCCTGGAGAGGAGATCTGTTGCTGAAGGAGAGGCACTTGCCTGACTCCCTGGACAGACTCTTTAATGCAGTCATTTAGTCTGCCCTGCCCCACACAGCATGCTCCCCACAGCAAGGAAGCTTGCTGGGAGGAGAGGACAGAAGGTAAGGAGGATAACTGACACTCCTCTCCGTGTTTTCCCACTGTAATAGCGGGCGTAATGGCTACTTCTAGAGCAGAAATTATTTGTTCCAATTACAAAGGATCAGGTAATAGCTTTCAGGTTTGCCCAGGGATGTTTTTATGAGAGTGGTAGACTGGAATTTTTAGTGTTGCTGTGCCTGTATTTTTAGGGCCTGGGGGTTTTAAGTTTCCTGATTTTAGTTAATTTAAACACATCATTCCTGTGACTAACATCAAAACCAAGCATGGGAACAGTGTATCATGGTATTTTAAACAAGTACTTAGTGTGGATTTAGTTGTAGCGAAAGCTTTGTGCAGTAATAAGTGAAGAGCAGCTCTACTTCCAGCTGGGATTACCATGACAAGGGCTACTAATCCCTGTGCTCTTCATCACCTGCTGCAGGCAGGAATGGATTCTGTCTCCCAGAACAAGATTTGCAGAACCTGCCAGGCAGACTGCTGCCTGTGTGCTCCTTCCCTGGAGCATTTCATCCCTCGGCCAGAGGAGCAAGGTCAGACTGGCAGGAAAGATGTAGCTGGGATATGCTCCCCTAAAAAGTGACCAAGGTGGGAAAATAATTTTTTAGCCTCTGCTGCCATGGCCAAGACCACAGTGAAACCGTGCTGCCCACCACAGCTCCCCATGCCCAGCTGGTTGCTCTGGAGCCAGCGAGTGCCCCGCTTGGCATCCCCAGTCCCCCGGCAACGCCGGCACGCTCCCTCGCCTCCATGGGCAGCTGGGAAAGGCCTTCACCCCGGCAACCTGAAACAAAGTTGGGTCTGTCCCAGAGCCACAGCCCTCCCCCGGGCTGGGGGGGTCCTGGCGGGGCTCAGCCAGGGTTCCCACAGGGAACCAGTCCCGAGGCTGCTCTGAGCAGGCCAAGATGCTCCCAGGACACTGCGGGTGCCGCCACTCCTGCCCCGCACAGGCAACCCCAGCCCATGGCATCGCACCCCGTCCCAGGCAGGGACGCCCTGCTTGTCCCTTGCTTGAGGGTGGGAATCGAGGGGACAGGGGCTCAGCAGTGCCGCCGCCGCAGAGGATACGACTTTTGAGGACAGGGGAGGTTGAAACAGGCTCCCCCTGCTTCCGGGGGGGTGACAGCCTGCATGTCCCCTGCAGATCTGGTGACCCTTTAACTTGGGCATCATCTGAGCTGCACCCCTCTGCAACAATTCATCTGCTCAGGCTGAGGGACTTAAAAATAGCACTGGGTGCATCCCGGCCCCACCGTGCTGTGGCCCCAGCCTGTTCCAGCCGCAGCACCGTCACCAACCCCACACTGAAAGGCGCCTCTGCCTGCTTTCCCCTGCTTCGCTCCTCAGATGGGGGCTAACACCCATTGATTTAGAGGGACAAGCAACACTTCCCCACCGATCCCCTCTGCCTTTCCCCCAGCCCAGGACACAACCCTGGGGCTCGGGTTCACCTCAACCCCCTCCCAGAGGGGCTGGGGGCATATTTGGGCTGCCCCCAGCAGAGCTGCTGTCCTCCAACCAAGCCAGCAGACATCTTAGAGCCTCCCATCACCCCCTCCCCACACTCCCCAGGGGATTAGAGCCCTTTAATCACCCCGAGGCATTAACTTGCACTGGGACCAGCTGGTCCCTCCCCAACCCCCCAGCCCAGCCCCACTGGGTGCTGAGGGGGCACCCAAACCAGCCCCAGTGTCCCCCGCCACTGGGAGCATTACCTGCCTCTTCCCCCAGCCCCGGCAGCATGGTGAGCCCCAACAAGCCCCCACGCATCCTCAGGCTTTGGAAGGATTTAGCCTTAAACCAGACACGTGAAGTCAGGAAGGTTTATTCCAGTAAACAGAATTTCTCGAGCTGGACAGTATGACAACAACTGATTGTAAAACACAGAAACAAAACATCCACAGGAAGAATTTCCACAAAATATTTTAAAAAAAATAAACCAAAAACAGTGTGATTGGAAAACTCTTATTTTGGAAAAAAAAACAGAGTCTATTGAGAAGCCTTTAAATTAAACAGTGTCGGATTCAAACCCTGACCAGCTCTGTCTCCAGGAGTGAGTGGGAGCAAAGGAGATAATTATTGCTTGCTTTGCTGGCTCCAGACACCCTCTCCTCTCCCAAAATAGCCCCAGGGGCAGGTTGCTGGGGGCTCCCTGCTACGCCGGGCACCCATGTCCCTCCTCACCCCGCTGGGACCCGGGGTTGAAGGGACAGGGTCATTGTGGACGGAGCTTGCCAGGCCAGGGTCAAACACCCCAGGGAGGAATCGCTGCGGTGGGTGGCTGGGCGGGTGGGGTTTGCTAAAAGTCACTAAAAGGCTCAGGTTTTACAGTTAAAGGACAATTTGTGGGGAGAGGGCCGCAAATGGAGATGGGGTTTGGGGTGGGGGAAGAACCAGGGAACAGCAGGGATCAGAAGTGTTGGGCATCGGGCGGCTCCAAATCCCTGATCCGCCCCCCGAGCCCCTGCTTGTGCCTAAGGGGGTGTGCAGGGCTTCAAGGCAGGGCTGGAGGAGCCCCCCAGGGATGGGCTCACAGGAGAGGGCAGCCCCCCAGCACCCCCGGCTCTCTCTAGCCTAAAACCACCGCCCAGGACCCCGCTGCAGGGATGCTCGCTGGCCACCAAGCCCCATCCCTCAGGTCAAGGTGGCAGGGAGCAGCCCCACAGGGGGATGGAGGAGAGGTGGGTGTGAAGCCGGGGGGGGCCAGTGAACCCTCACCCCCCTTACCCCTGCCCCGGGGCCTTCACAGGTTGCTGAACAGTTCGTTTTTCTTGCTCCAGTCCATCTGGGGAGCCCGCTTGCTGGTGCGTTTCTGGTGTGCCCGCTCCTTGGCCACCGCCAGCGGGATGTCGAGGTCCAGGAGGGAGCCAGATGCC